AGAATCCTCTCAGACGTAAATAGAGATGTTTTGCACCTGTTTCTTAAACACGCCACAACAAAACCCTCTCGGTCTGTGAGAACATTTCTGACCTGTCTCATAACAATTCTCGCTGTCTCTAACCTATTACGTCACAAAAACACACCCCTTCTGGTCGTTTCTGACCAATGAAAAATCCCAAAAAGTGAACCGGGAAAGAGTCTTTAAAATGTCAGTACTTCCTGGTCTACACAGACTCACGGAGTTACAGACTCACAGAGTTGGAGAGTTGTCAGACTTCAAGAGTTCTGGAGTTCTGATGGAGTGCTGTTGGAGTTCCTGACATGACAACAAAGCTCTTCCGAGTTCCATGGGATTATAACATTTTCCACTGAGGTGAATGTGTGTCGAACAGAGCCTCGCCACTACTTCTGACGAGCTACAGCCATTCTAAGGAGACGCTGGACCGGTAGCGTTAACGGAACACCATATCTGCTGATTATCATCAGAAAGGTAATGGGTCAAGTTTCCTACCAAGCGTACCGAGGCGAGCTGGGCTTCTGATGGAGAGTGTCGGTTCTGGTGAACACTTAATTTCCCTCACATACCATCTTAACTCCCTCTAAACTTCTTCCCATCTTTAAACTTTTCTATCAAGTAGAAATTCTTCCAGATATTTAGAAATGTCTGTGTAAAATGCTCACCCACATTCATGTGGGCAAAAGATCATAGTTGTACAGTTTTCATAAATGTCTTTGGTGCAGCAACGGAAAAATCATGGCCGTATGATTTTTCCTGGTTGATTGCTTTGTTGTTATTTTCATAATTTGCCAAATTAATGTAAATGTTTGATGTTAAATTTGATTCTGTAAATAAATGACCGCATTCATTTTGATGGGTCAAATCTAAATGACGTCTCACGTTTGCATTTCCTTAAATTCAATGCACGTTTTATTCAGTCCAGAAAAATGAGGAACCCGCGTTAAATGATGAATATATCCCAGCATCTGTTCATCTACAAGGGTGATGTGCTGAGTGGTATTTTGAAGGCAGATCTCAGTGATCATTTACCAGTTTTCACTATTTATAAGAATGATGATGATATAGTTAAAACAATTATAAGAAAGAACAAAATAATAAACACTTCAAAAAAAGCATTGAACAAATTAAAAGATGAGTTGGATAAACAAAAATGGGATGATGTATATGTAGATGATGTGAACAAATCATATGATGAATTTATGACGATTCTAGAGGTCTTGTACAAAAAAAATTGTATGCTAAAAAATGATGTACAGAAAGATACAGTGGATCAACCATGGATGACAAAAGGATTGAGAAATGCTTGTAAAAAAAAGAATCATCTGTA